GGTCCAAAAATGTTTGGACTAGCACCAGAGGTCCAAACTCTTCATTTTGTTGCGAGTTTGGCCCAGTTTTCTATAAACTTTTTCATAATGACTATTTTGCCCCCTTTTTTTCTTTTTCAGTTTTTTTTATTATTTAAGTACTTTTTTATTAAAAGAAAAAATAAAAAAAGAAAATTTGCAATTTCTATTTTATTTTTATAATTTTTTATAACAAAATAAAAAAAATAAAAATGAAAAATCTCTTTCTTTCTCTCTCTCTCTCTCTCTCTCTCTCTCTCTCTCTCTCTCTCGTTTCTTGCTTACCACCGGCCAAAGAAAAATAAATCGGCGGCTGTCGCCTGCCTAGGCTGCCCCTCCGCCTCCCACCAGTCAGGTAGCACCACCCCAAACACCCGCTTCGATCATTGCTACCCTTCATTTGAACCTCCACGAGAGAAAGGAGATCGAGATCTGAAAGTTAGGGTTTCTTGGCGGCTAGTGTTTTCAAATGGGGCATTTAATGACCAGAAATCGAGGGGGAGACACATGGGGTTGCTCTGGCGGCTTTTGCTGCTTCGTTTCATAGTAGCAATCAGCGATGGTGGTTCCACAGCAGCGGCGTCAGTGGTGGCAGGGGTTGCTCCGACGGCTTCTGCTGCTTCGTTCCTTGCTGTTCCGACGAGGTCGACGAGAGGGAGGGCAGCGAGGCGATGGTTGGAGCTTGAGCTCGTTCCAATTCAACAGAAAAAAAAGAGATTAAAGATGGTGGTGTCTTGCGGTGGCTGAGGAAGAACTTCGACTGCGGCAGTAGCGGGGGCTTTTGGTTGGTGTTTGTTTGACATAACAGAAGGAAGTGGGTGGTTGGAGTGGTGGTTTTTGGTGGTTACAGTGGTGGTGAGTGGTGAAGTGGTGGGTTTTTCTTGGAAGGGAGAGGGAGGTGGCATCGGTGATGGTGGGTGTTTCTTGGTGGCCGGAAAACAGCTCCACCTCCAGTGGAGTTCTCGTGCTCGAAAATGAAGAAGAAGGAGGAGGGATAACCTGGCTGGTTCGATCGTCATAAACACACGAAGAAGGAAGAAGGATTCACGAACGGAGCAGGGGAAGGACGAAGGTGGTGACAGGGGGCTCCGGTGGTGGCATGGTCGAATGCTCACAGTGGCAGCAATCGATTCGGTTTGGTGATTTAGTTGCGGTCATCGATCGTCAACAGGTAAAAGAATATTCTTTTCTCTCTCTCTCTCTCTCTCTCTCTCTCTCTCTCTCTCTCTCTTTCTCTCTCTCTTTTTTTTCAATCAATCAAATTAGGTAAAAATGGTGTTTTGGGATGTTGTTTGTTTTATCATGAATCTATGAAATGAACAAATTAGATATTTTGGGTTTGCTTTTGACAGAAAATCGATGGGTGTTTGTAGAAGTGATTGGGTTTGTTGTTTTCACAGGAATGGGAGAAGGAAGAACACGAATTGGAAACTGCCCTCTTTTTTTTGTTGGCTTGCTGGGTACATAAGGGCAAGAACAAGATTGTTCTTGTATTTCTTGACTGGAATCCATGTAGAATGACATGGGGTTCATTAAGAGGAAACGTAGAAGAGAGGGGTGAGTGGGGTTGATCTTGTGACAACGTTTATTGTGAAAAGGAAACACTTTTTCCTTTGGGTTTGAGTGTAGTAATGTCCTAAAAACCATAATGAAATTTTGCATTTCTCCCAATTACTTTTTGAATATACATATCAGAATGAGTAGTTTTTTAGCTGCATTTTATGAATTGATTCATATTTTAATTTATGTTTTTTTATTTTTTCTGATTTAACACTTCATTTATGTGGACAGTGCAGGATCTTGACAAGGTTGAATTCTGAAAATGTATCAAGTATGTTTATGTAGATGATTCAATGGATGATATTGGTGAGATTCCAATTCTATTGGAATTGAGTCACGAATTCCAATTCTGTTGGAATCACAAAAGTTGATGCTTGAAAAACGGACCACAAAATTGAAAGTGATTCTAAGCAACATTATTCTTTTAGAATGTATTAGTCGTTGTTAGATTTTGATGTTTTCTTTCCCGTTTTGAAAGTTTTTTTTAGTTTTATTCTTTAACAATAAATGTAATTCTTAACAATTGTTACCCGTATTCTATAAGAAATAATGTATTTTTTGTTTTTATTCTTCAATTGATTGTTCAATAATTTGTTATTCTACAAGAAGTTTTTAAATTCATGATCAAGAAATAGGTTCAAGAATATTTTTATTATTTATAGTTCAAGAATATTTTTATTTTTGAATATACTCATAAACATATTCTGTCAGAATGTCCGAATTAAAAGAATTATAATTCGTAAAATCGGATTTTTACAATTAATAGAATTTATGATCCCTTAAAAAATGCAATTTTCCTTTATTAAATCTATATTAATTGACTAAATTACCCTTGTAATTAATTAAGATGATATTTTTCAATTATATTTAATTCAATAATATATATTAATCACTTTCTTAAAATAAGTAAATTTGATTGGCCCACATTTATGCATACAATAACACAATAATTACTTTGAATAAAATAATCTAACCCTATATATATATATATATATATATATATATATATATGTGTGTGTGGTGTGTGGGGGGGGGGGGCAGGGATTAGCCACACAATTAGTGGGAGTTACTTAAGACGCACAACTTGGAAGAACAAATCCAAGTCATGCATTGAGAATCTTGTTTAAATTCATAAACATATTCTGTCAGAATGTCCGAATTAAAAGAATTATAATTCGTAAAATCGGATTTTTAAAATTAATAAAATCTATGATCCCTTAAAAAATGCAATTTTCCTTTATTAAATCTATATTAATTGACTAAATTACCCTTGTAATTAATTAAGATGATATTTTTCAATTATATTTAATTCAATAATATATATTAATCACTTTATTAAAATAAGTAAATTTGATTGGTCCACATTTATGCATACAATAACACAATAATTACTTTGAATAGAATAATCTAAGTCTATATATATATATATATATATATATATATATATATATATATATATATATATATATATAGGGCTAGGTTATTTTGTTTTTTACATTTATTGTGAGTTAGAATGCACCAATAGGAATTTAGTAAATTAAATAATTATTTAATTAAATAAATATAGATATTAAATGATTTCTATAATTATATGTATATTAAATGATAGCCATAATTATAATTCTCTTTTTATAGAAACTAATTAAATCTGTCATTAATATCAGCAATAACATTCTTTCAGAATAAATTCGCATCTAGGTTTTTATATATGAGTTCGTATTTTGTTTCAAGACTCAATCACTTAAAATACAATAAAATTGCATGGAATATGAAGAACGAGAGTGTATTCTAGTAGAATACATTCTCATTCTTCTAGATATGAATTCATTCTGAAAGAATATTATTGTTGACATTAATGACAAATTTAGTTAGTTTCCATAAAAATGAGTTATAAGTATGGATAACATTTAATATACATATAATTAATACTAAATTTCTATTGGTGCATTCTAGCACACAATAGATGTGAAAAACATTTGAACCTATATATATATATATATATATATATATATATATATATATATATATATATATATATATATATATATATATATATATATATATATATGGGCAGGGATTGGCCACACAATTAGTAGGAGTTACTTAAGACGCACAAGTTGGAAGAACAAATCCAGGTCATGCATTGAGAATCTTGTTTAAATTATAAATAAAGTCAAAATTTCTTGTCGCCTAAATCAAGAATCTTGACTTAGCATTTACCTTCTACCAATGCCACTTACGGACCTCAAATTCTTTTAGCACATGATAGTCACAGAATTGGTTTTGTTAACAAATTGATTACTCTTGTAAAGAATACTCAATTTATGCGTATAGAGGTGACAAATTGGACAGATCAAAGAAATATGCCAAGAATTCTGTTAAGTTAGAAATTTTTTAATATAAAATAATATAAAGTGGGTTTTATCTATTGACCACTTCACAATAAATTAAAACTAAAACTGACTCAAGATTAATATTACTAAAGTCCCATGTTTTTTGCACTAAATTGAGAAAAGCCCTGAATTTAATTTTTCGTTGACTGTGGACACAATATTTTCGTGGAATTATGGCAAAATGGCGAATGCCAGTTTCACCGGTTTCAGCAGGTTACAAAGCTTAGTCGAACGTTGGAGCTAGTTGTTAGTTAGGTTTTGTTCCATTCTTCTCTCCATCGTCAAACCAAAAAGATCGTAAACTCCTCCAACACGCACACACAAGGGTACAGAGAATGTGCTTTAAGGAATCGTTGGTATGAAGATTTGAAATGTGAGTGTGATGAACCTGCGACATTCTCGTTCTCCAAAATTGTCGATAATCCATGGAGGAAATTCAGGGGGTGTCCAAAAAGGGGTATGTAATTTACAAAGCTTCCCACAAACCACTACCATACCATGTAACCTAATTAGAACCAAACTTCTAATTCTACCAAACATTGTGGATAGGAATTGGAAGCTTGTTACCAAAAGTAGATGTTTACAAAAATGACAACCTATTTACTAATGCTCATTCTGCCCATTAAACCCTTAAACACAACTTCTTAATCTAAAACCCAAAAGGGTTTTGGAAAAAACATCACCATCAGCATCTCTGACCATTTTCCTGAGCTTCAGTTTCCTAATTCTTTCAGAGGGAGTCCTCTTTTTCTCCCAATGGAAATTGTAAGAACCAGGACCCAATGGTATCACTCTTGCTCTAACCTCTCTCTCTCTCTCTCTCTCTCTCTCTCTTCAACTTCTTCTTCCTCAACCTCTCTGCCTTCAACTTCTTCTTCCTCAACCTCTCTCTTTTCAACTTCTTCTTCCTTAGCCTCTCTTTCTTCAGTCTCTCTTTCCTAAACATCTCTTTTCTGAACATTTCTTTCATCAACATCTGTTTCCTCAACTTTTCCATAAACCTACAATATGGCAGGCTAGTTAGTAAAGCTACAATATGAAAGCCAAAAATAATGTAACAACACATAGCTCTTTCATAGCAGCCATTGCATCAGCATGTGTATATCCAGACATCAGCAACTCCTTTAAAGTAACTCTTTCATTCACCTTCACCTCATTGTCATTCTCTTGTTCCTGAACATCCTCCTTTGCTTGACTCATAGGTTGTTTACCATTAGGTGTATGGATGAAAAGATCATCAAAATCCTCATCACAGGTTAAGGACGTATCCTCCTTTGCTTGACTCTTATGTTGCTTACCATTAGGTGTTTTCTTTGGTGTTTTGTTCCTTGATCCAGAAACTTTAGTTTTTCGTCCTCTCCTTGCCATTATCTTAGTCTTTTTCATAGGACTAACATTAGGACCACCATCTTGATCACCAGATTCTGAAACAGGGGGAGGAGGAACATCCCTTCTTGGTATATCAAGCCCAACTTGAGGGGAATTGGTCAAATATAGGCTGGCCTCCCCCATCTTTCCTAGGTCTTCCAATCTTCCTTTTTGGGACAGGGGGATTAGGTACCTCATCATTTGTGCATGAAATCTTATTATGCCCAAGTTGTTGGCACTTTCCACACCTCACATTCCTAGGAACCTTTAACCTTTGTGAGGTGTTCCAGGCATCCTTCTAGCTGAGGGTGGTAATGGTTTAATAAACTCAGTCCTTAGTCACAAGTTGCTTCCACCTACAGGTTGTATGTTCTGACTGTATGTTGCAACATATTTGTCCTTGTGGAACCAATAATAAAGGAATTTACTTGGATCTTTGTGGATATAGTTGATTGCAGCTTGACTATGCACACATGGTATGCCAGACAACACCCACAAGTCGTAGGTGCAAGTGTGAGTAGCTAAATCAACCTTGTATCCATTGTAGCCATACCTAGTCTCAAACACATCACCACCACTTGGCACCACTGTCCACAACCTACACACAAAACAAACAAAGTATACACATAAAAAAATAAATACATAATACATTTGGATACATGCCCATAAAAACTTATATTACCTTATATCTTTCCCAAATTCATCAATCTTCAGTTGTATGTTAGGCCCACAATTACCCCTCCATTTGGCTACCTCTTGACCTTGATGATAAAACCTTTTTCATAAAGGGAATCCTTATTTCCTCAAGCATTATAAGTAGAGGCTTTTTCCTTATTTCTTTGATCATGCCATTGAAACATTTTGCGACCCCCTTCTCTACTGCTTCACAAGCATACCCATGAGAAAAGAAGGCTCTGCACCAGGTTTCAGGTTTCCTTGCCATAAGATAGGTTTATCATGTTTCTGTTATCTTCTTTATCTTCTCCATTGTAGCAAGAAAGTCCCCTTCCATTGTACTCATAGCAGCTTCCCAGAACAAATTATTTAGCTCTAATCCTATGAATTTCTTCCTAAAGTTTGCAAAGATGTGTCTAGCACATTGTTTGTGCTCAACATGGGGGAGTACGTCTGCCATAACTTGTAGAAGTCCCTATAATTAACAAACAAACACAACACATGTAAAAATAAATGAGTGTTACATAGAAATATATATTGTATACTAATATATGTTGTTGGTACCTTGTGTTGGTCTGAGATAACAACCAGTCGATTGCCAGCACCAAGATCCAAATCAGCAACCAAATTCCCAGTGAACCAGGTCCAGTTGTGCTTATTCTCAAAATTCACAACTGCCCATGCTAGTGGGTAGACATGGTTGTTTGCATCCCTCCCAATAGTAGTTAAAATCTCCCCCTTTACCTGCCCCTTCAAGAAACTACCAGCTAGTCCTATTACCCTTCTACATCCTTTGTTCCATCCATCTCTGAAAGCCTTGAAGCCAACATAAAACCTCTTGAAATAGTTACACCCCGGATTACTTTCTACCCCCACCAAGCAAGTTGTACCCGAATTACTCAACCTAATTGCAGTTGCATTGTCCCAAACCTTGGCATAGTGGTCTTCTAACTTCCCTTCTATCATCCCCATTGTAATAGCCCTTGCTCTTTGACATTTCCCAACAGATACACTCACTGAAAACCTTTGTATCACATCTGCTTGCATCTCTATCAATGTCATCTTGGGCTTCACGATTACATCTTTCAGGTAGTGTTTGGCTAACCAAATGCTAGTAACTAGGGAACCAAAGTGATAATTCCTAGCATACAGATGAATTTCATTACAAAATTTAATATGGAATGTCCTTTCATTGTACTTCCATCCAGCTGCAACCCTAAATGGACACTTCATTTTTTTATTGCCACTGCTTCCACTACCACACTTATCTATATAACCCTCACTCTATCACTTTTTTCAAAATAAAGTTTGTATCCTCCATGGACTGTATAGTTAGTTAAAGCAAACCTGAGTTGAGCAGGTGCTTCATAACAATCTCCTAATCGAGGCCCCATCTCTTTCCAGTCAACATTAGGATCATGCACCCTATATCCGACACCAACATCTTCATCGTCCTCATCTAAGTGGGCATGCTCATTTTTTGGACACCAGGTGTGTCTCCATCATCTACCATTCCATCAATACTCCTCCTTAATATGTTTCCGTCATACAATAAGTTAAGAAAATAATCATCACATAGTTTTGAGGGGGCTTTGAAAGCTTCTTCAGAAAAATCCAAGAAGCTAAAGTTAGATGCATCATCATCGGAGTCAGAGTCTAGAAGGTATGTATTCTCAGGGTGTCACACCCCCAAACCAGGACGGCGGAAGTGTCCGGGGGCGGTTGACGTCATTGTGTAATATCATAACAGTTGAATATAAATGATACATAGCCAAACTCCATACAATACAATACACCAATATTCATTGTTTACAAAGTGTGTTTGTTCTTCGATTACACAAAAATCACCAAAAAGTATGATGTCTCTAAAGATAGTAACATATCCAGATCCGAGGCTCGAGTACCTGTTCACTAAGTTCCTGAGAATACAAGTCGTTTTGAAAAACGTCAACATAGAATGTTGGTGAGTTCATAAGCATAGTTGTAGAAAACTTTGCATTATCTTTGTTCATAATAAGTTGTAAAGCTCCAGAAAATCTAATATTTTCTATAAAAAGTAGTTTGTGGGTCTCGTTCCAAAAACCGTGTATATTTGCATGCATGTTCCTTATTTTCCTTTGTTTTGTATTAAAAAGAGTGTGATCCCAGAAAATCATATATCTTCTGTATATAAAAGTGTTGTGGTCTTTAAACCCTAAGACCGGAGTTGTGAAATCAGTTTACAAAATATGCGAAACATAGTTTTGTATTTTATAAAACTAATGGAGTGTATATTCCTCGTAATTCCAATGTTAATAGGACCCTACTCTATGTGAGTTGTTATAACCATACTAATATGACGAGAACGTCTGTCCTGACGTTCTTCAGGCGTCAGCTACTATGAAAGATATTTGTCACCTTAGACTGGCCTATCTAGCTATAACGAACAGCACAGGTGTGGGGTGTCAACCTCGTATAGATCTATACACATTTATCCCGCTCCCCCTCCAGGAGACTCTGGTTATAACTACAGGACTTACAATGTATACTAGGTAGGTATGGTGAAGACAAAAAGAAAAACAAATCTCACAAGAGCCTTAACGGAATTTCCGCGAGTTTTGACTCCCATTATTAAATAATGCAAATAATGTTTTCCTTGTGTAAAGTTATGACTGCAGCTTTATGACACGCGTTTTACTGCTTTATGACATATAGCTTATTACTTGTATTTCTGAAAGTTTTATGATAGACAGTTTATGACACGCGGATATTACTGTCATAAAAACTTTGTTTTGTATACCGACTTGATAAAATTATTTATATTAATAATTATAAATAATCACTAATAGTTTGTCAACTTGCAATATGTTATGAATATGACATAATATACTAAGTTTAAAACCCTTGAAATGGTATCATCATAACATGATTGTTTTACTAGCAACATTTATTTATCTTGAAAAATAACCAAGTTTTGTAGGGTGTTTTGACATACCCAAAATTTTGTGGGAATCTTTGCAAAAAAAATATTCTATTTTTATTGTGACTAAAATATTTTCACTAATTCCACCAAAATCTCATATTAATCCATAAAATCAATTATGTTTCAATGTTTACACAAGTTTTAAAGGTAAAAGTATTTTTAACCACCAAGTTACCATTTTGAGTATAACTCATCATATTTTACCTAGTAACTTCATTTTATGCATAATATAATACAAAAATATGTAGATCTATACAAAGATAGCTTAGTTCTAACTACATGAGACTTGTAAAATCTCAAGTTTATGGATTATTAACATGAAATAATATCATTTCAAATTTTCAACACACATAAACATATAATCATATGAGTGGATGCAATTATCCAAGGATTTAAACAAGATTTGACTTGTATTCCCCCCCCCCCCCCCCTAAAAAAAGAATGAAAACTTGAAAAGAGTGGGGTATGAAGCTCACCTTGTGTAGGGAAAAGATGTAGTGGAAGTGATGGGGTGAAGGTTTGGAGCCCAGAACACTTGGAGTGTTTGATGAATTTCTTGGAGACTTTGATACCCTAAGGTTGTTAACACATAAATTTATGTGTGATTAGGAAGAATTTCAACCAAGTAACGTGTAAAATCTATAGCTAGGCACGAAATACTTACAAGGATTTAGAAGAGTTAGTGAAGAAATAAGATTCCTGGAACTTGGCTTGAATTCTTTGAGAGTGTTCACGGACTTCTCAGTAAGTGAAAATGAGTTTGGTGAAAGAAGGAATGGGGTTTACGTTCATCTTAAGGGATAAGGAAATGATTTGATATTTTCTTGGATTACTAATGGATAAAGTTTTGTTATTGGTGGTTAATACATGTTTTACTGAGATTTGCATGGGAAAGTGGCAAAAGACAACTCATAATCTGTAAACACTTCAAATCCTTCAAGCCTAGGCGTAAACACATGAGTTTACACCCTATATGTGGTCCACCAAAGGTGTTTACGCCCAAGCCTTGTCTCTTTAAGGAGTTTACACCCATACATCCCATCATGGAGTAGTTTACGCCCAAACATCACATCATGGAGTAGTTTACGCCCAAGGCACTATCTAAGAAGGTGTTCACGACCTAACTTTGGTTTATTAAAGTTGTTTACGCCCCCAAAGGGGCCCACTAAGGAGGTTCGTGGTCTTAGCACTTAATTATGTTGGCCTTATAATTCAAATGTTCAAGATTGTAACATATACACAAGTCTTTATGTTTACATCATCATCCTTATTTGATGTGCTATAATCATTAGGGCTTAGGGTAATATGAACTTCAATTATATATCATAGTTGTATCAAATCTAAAACACTTGCATATACAAGACTCTTGGACTTGGTTATGACGTGAAATTTCTAGTTGTGACGCAGGGAGCTTAGGCCCTTTAAGCTTCTTAGTTCCAGAAGTAGAAGCCATCTGTTTCATAAAAAAAACAACTTGTTAGTTCAAACTTGGAACTCCATACTCCATAGACGAAGATAACCATCCTCAGAATCATCAATTTCTTGTTTCCATACACGTACCTTT